ACATGGCTAGAGAAGCAGGAAAACATAGGTAAACACCCCTTCTCGCCCCCTCCTATGCGTTCATCACCTCCTATCGTCTCCCTCCTGCCTGAAGAAATCTGGAAGAAAGAACAGATGGAAAAAGAACATAAGCACACTAAGAAAGAACCAGCACAAATCCTAGGAACAACTAGAACATGGTCGCATGTACTACTAGTCTATGATCACAAGAACACTATATACTGAAAACTAGATGCCCAGATCATTGGTTTCTAGATTTGCAGAATAGGAACACACTACAGGGGACAAAAACACACTAAAAGATCACTAGGCTAGCAATTCCTTTTAGGGGACAAATACAAGGGACAAAAACACACTACTAGGCTAGCAATTCCATTTAGGTAAAACTAGTTGAAAATATACAAGGTTGAGGATTACTGCAGTTGAGAGAATATGTGACTATTTCCACAAACTTTGGAAACTAAAAAACTAAAACACTATTAAGAAACTTTGATCTACTAGTTTAGACACTTCCTGTTGAATGACCGAATATAAGTAACTTTGGAAGTGTAAACTGCTATGAACTGATACTTGTTTACACTGAATATTGATTAGCATTAACATAAACACTGAAAATAGAAGTTATCAGAAAAAATGAGTAACACAATCAGGCTAAAAACACTAAAGATTACAGTGTAAAACCCACAAAGAATTATAGTGTAACTCTACTAAGAATTACACTGTAATCCAATAAAGATTACAGTGTAAATACACCAAAATTGCCAATCTCTTTGCTACAAGAATAGCTTAACCAAAAGGAAGACAAAGTACAAACCATGTTACAGCAGTACGGATTGAACCAAGTTCACCTAAAAAAGGGTCCGTGAAAATTACATCAAAGCCAAGCTCCCCTAGCCTCCTTTACAACCCACACAGGCAAAGCAGCGAGAAAGGAGAAAAAGAACCCAACATTACAAGGCAAAAATTTTCCATCTCTAATCTAAAACTAACCACACACAATTTAAAAGAAAATGACAAAAACAACTAAAATTACACTATAAAATCAACTAAAATTACATTAAGATTTACACTATAAATACCGCTGTAAATCCAGTTTGAATCCACTGTAAAATCTACTACACTAAGAAAAATACTGAAAATCCGGTAGGAATTACAGTGTAGATCCAGTAGGAATTACACTGTAATTCTACCTAGATTTACACTGAAATCGACCTAGAATTACAGTGTAAAATATAGTAGAAATTACAGTGTAAATGTACCTAGAATTACACTGTAAAATCAACCTACAATTATAGTGTAAAGATAGTAGGAATTACAGTGTAAATGTACCTAGAATTACACTGTAAAACCGACCTACAATTATAGTGTAAATATAGTAGGAATTACACTGTAATTTTACCTAGAATTACACTGTGAAATCAACCTAGAATTACACTGTAAAATCGACCTACAATTACAGTGTAAATATAGTAGGAATTACAGTGTAAATGTACCTACAATTACACTATAATTCTACCTAAATTTACACTGTAAAAATCAAGACTCACAGCGAATGCATAGTGACAACCGCCAAATGTCATTGATCTCATAGAAGCAACCTTCATAGAATCCTTAAACTTCTTAATATTGCCAAGGAGACTCTCATATACCAATCTAGATAAATCATAGTTCATCACAGAACTACAATCTCTGAAAATGTGGAGATATTTGGGACTAGGAGAAAGGCTTGAATTTGGACACAAGAAAGTGGACAAGGCAATACACATGAAGCAGATGAAACTGTCTTCATCAGGCAATTATTCAGATTTGAGTGTATTGCAGAAGAAAGAAACCGGTGGGATGCTGGTCACATTGAAATGGGACAAGATAAACTCACGCCCAGCCTCAGCATCGGACATAATGGGCTCACCATCAACAGGAAGATCTAAGATGTCATGTTTGACATATTTGGGAATCGGAATAAACTTCTTCCTAATCTGAATCTCTGAAGCAAGATCAAATTTGGACAGTACCATTTGACAAACCTAAGAGGCACCTCTGTCCTCACAAATTTGAGAAGGCAATCTGCCCTGCAGCTCTGAAGAACACGGACTTGCCTAAGAGACAAGCCACCAATAACGGTGGAGAACAACTTACCAGAGTATCTAGTGAATGTAGTGGCTACAGGAAAATCAGAAGACCTCTTGTGCTTCTACAACACAACAAGAAACACAAACAGAAGAAAAAATCAAGATAATTTACATTAAAAAGAAACAAAAGAAAGACATCTAGCAACAGCAACTAGAACTATATGGAACTAGGTTCTTGTGCATCAATAGCCATTCCACAAAAAAATAGATATGATGAAGATTGCAAAAGGACTTATCTAAAACTTATATCCATATCTATCATAGAGAAGTTGCATGCAAAAAAAGGAAATATAAACAACAAAAAATAAAATACTACATTGCGAGCTCCAGCATTTGTAATCTTCCATTTTAAGCAATTCACTTTCTGCAAAAACATAAAAAGAGGAATTATCCATTAACTACAAACATGCATTAACCGATACAAAAATGAAACTGGTACAAAAAAGCATTAACAGAAGAAACTGGTACAAAAGCGTTAACTACAGCACCACACTTACATGAGACACGTAGAACTCATACAAAGCTTTCTCCAAATCAGGATCATCCATTTGACCTTCCTGCAGTTAACAGATGAAACAAATGAATGAACTAAAAACCCGGAACAAATAAGCTACCAAGCAAGAAATAAAAGAAATAAAAAGTCAAATTAGAAATATAACCTCCCAAGCTTGAAAAGGATCATCCTCGGCAAAATCATTGGGGACAAAAGGATCCCCATCTGAATCATCACAATCTTCAATACAAGCAGCAGAAGTGCCCTTACCAAAAGCCTTCATGAGTTTCCCCATACTTTAATCTATAACCTAAATATGTACAAACGGCAGAAGGGATAAAACATAACAAAAATATAAAGAAGAAATTCATTGATAGCATTTACAGTCTACATCTCTTTTATTTCACTACATAACCCACTGAGAATTACAGTGTAGAAATCCCCTGCGAATTAAAGTGAAAACCAACTGAGAATTACATTGTAAGTACACTGTAATCACCGACTAAGAAAAATACACTGGAATTCCGATGAAGATTACAGTGTAAATCTGAATATAATTACAGTCTAAATCCTCTAAGAAAATACACTGGAATCAGATGCATCACAAGAACTTACAAACTAGCAATGCATCACAAGAACAGTCACAATTCCTCTGCTACCAATAACACTGTAAATTACACTGAATTTACACTGTAAAATCAGCTATCAATTACACTGTAAATCCACAACGCAATTCCACTATAAAAATTCAAGTGAATTACACTGTAATTCCACTAGATAATACAGTGCAAATCCATGGCAATTACACTATAAATCAGCTATCAAATTACACTGTACATCACTGACAAATACACTGTAATTCCACTTAACAAATACAGTGCAACCCCACTGACAAAAATACACTGCAATTAGGACATACACATTGTTATTCCACTAGCAAATACAGTGCAGATCCACTGACAAAATACACTGAAATTACACTATAAAATAACCAGGGATTACACTACAAATTGCTTTGGATTTACACTACAAATATTCTACCTATCCACTAGAAAATTACAATGAAATCCAGTATAAAATACACTGAAAATCACTCTAAAAAACAATGGGGATTGCACTGTAAATTCAAAAAAGGAATTACAGAGTAAACCACATACCCACTAAACGATACCAGTGAAGAGAAATGGTCTATGGATTAAAGGCCCGGGAACAGAATACATCCGTTCGAATTGACTGAATACATAAGACTACTACAACTAAGCAAGCCAGCCTCACATGAACAACTCGAATGCCAACAACCAATCAATTACAGATCAGCAGATCAAACTGACGTACATCCCAGCTACCGCGCTTAGCAGATCAATCAAACGCATCCCAGAAACGGCACAACCTAAACAAATCTACACGGAAAAAAGCTGCGGGGGATGGATACAATCATCATATCTGACAGACAAAACCA